TTTTTTTTTTTTTTTTTTTTTTTTTTGTATAATGAAGATACTTTAAATTTTATTAATATATATATATATATATATTTTTTTTTTTTTATTTATATATTTATTATTTACATTATTTTAATATGTTTCCGTCAAATAGACTTTTACGTTAATATGTTTTACTTAATATAATTTATGTTTTTTATTTCTATTTTTTTTACCTTTCATCATTCATCTGATATTTTTATAATATAGATATTAACATAACAAAGCATGTTACAGCTTTTTAAGTCTTGTGGCCAACATATTTGAAAATGCTCTAGAAAACAGAATAAAATAAGTGATATGTAATATAATAGAATATAAAAAAAAAAATTATAAAATAAAAAGATTTTTAATTTTAATATATTATATATTCAAATATTTCATTAAGTATGACTATCTTCCTTATCCCAATAAGTTGACAAATGAATGGATGTTTCTTTGTCGTCTTTTTTTAAAATATAGCAACTTACTGAAAAAAAAAAAAAAAAATAATAGTAGTAATAACATAAAGAAAAGTATTAATATTCATAAAAAAAAAAAAATAATAATTAATGAAAGAATAGAATAATTTATATATGAAAAAAGAAATTTTATTATGTAAAAATTTTTTATTTGTATTTTTATATTCTTTTTAGATAAAGAATAAAAATAAATTAATATTTACTTATGTATTTCATAGGAAGCATCTTTGAGCACAAAAAAGTCATACAATTTTCACAAATCACATTTGACCATTGATTTATCTTTATTAAAAAATAATAAAAATAATTATAATATAAAATAACAGTAAAAATGTTTAATGCTAATTGAAAAAAACTACAAAATATAAATTTATTTTTATGTGTATTATATATATATATATATATATATATATATATATATATATATATATATATATATATTTTTTTTTTCTTTACTTCATTATTGGAGTAACTTTTATTTCTCAAAGTATCTTTATTTTTTAATAAGTAAAAAAATTAAAAACATATGAATTCGTTTTTATTTTATTTTTTTATTTAAATTTTCTCTATACCATCAATAATTGAATAAATTTGTTTCATACATTCTTTTTCTTCCCAAGTCTAATAACAAAAAAAAAAAAATTTTAATTTTAATATTTAATAAATAAATATAAATCTAAAAAAAAAAAAAAAGGTAAAGAATAACATCAGTATTTCTCATTTTGATAATTAGTATGTGTAAACATTAGGAAACTTAAATTCTTTTACATAATTATCATATAAATTAAATATTATCTACTAATATTTTTTTATTTAAGTTTTTAATTAAAGTTTCAAATTAATGTTTTTAAAAAAAAATTTATGTTTATATTTTGTTCCATTGTTAATATCTTAAGACTGAAATTTTTTCTATGAGAACATAGAAAAATGTTTGAAGACATTTATGCTAGCAAGCTTTATTCGTAATTTACTTATATTTTAATTAAAAATTTATACTATTTTTTTTTTTTTTTTTTTTTTTTTTTTCCCTTTAAATGTGTTTTCTTGTTTTTAATGAATATATAATTTTTTGTTTTTTTTTTTTTTTTTTTCTTTTAATTTAACAAATTTAATATTTTTTTTGAATAAATATTTATAAAATATTTTAGTCTTTTTTTTTTTTTTTTTTAATACATTTCTTTGATGTTTTATGTAAGAAATTTTTTAAATTATATATTAATTTTTTTTTTTTTTTTTTGTTTTTAAAGTATTTAAAAAGGAAGAAAAATGACAGCCAAGTCGCCATGTTTAGATATATTGCCATTTCTATTTAGGGAAGAACAAATAAGTAACAGGATTCAAAATTTTCCAACTGAAACTATGAAAAAAGCATATTTAGAATTGAAAGGATATTTTGAACAATATAAAATTTATGCAGAGTAATATTATATAAATATTTAAAAAGAAAAGAAATAGACATAATAATCATACAAAAAAGAAAAATTTAAAAATTTGTAATTAAAAGGATTTTTGAATAGAATAATTTGTATTTCATTATTAACAAAAGCAATATGATAAATTATTTTGTGAATAATTTATTACATATATGTAAATTTTATTTTTTTACGATTATATTTAGTAATTAGATACATTCTTTTATTATGATATAAATTTCTTTTATCATTTAGGAAATTAATTAATTTTAGTGGTTCTATGAATGATGAAAATCAAAGAAAAGAAAAACTTATGATAAAATTAAGATGTGAATATTATGCTGTTATATTTTCTCAAGCATCAAAACTTCTACACGAATATATGTAAACAAAATAAAAAAAAATAAATAAATAAATGAAAATACCGAAATATTACAAATAATAAAAATAAAAATTTATGGTTAATTTTATAGTAATTTTAGAAATAGACTAATATTAGAATTAGCTATAAATGTAAATGGTCTTATTAATTCAATTCACCCAAATATAATACAAAGACTTAACGAGGATGAACAGAAGGAACTAGAAAAATATTGTGAAGTAAACAAATACAAACAGTTCAGTTTTTTTATTTTTTATAAATATATATGTATTCATAACTTTTTTTATAGAATATAAGAAGCGAAAGAACTAAATCGAAGTTACAAAATGTTATAATATTACAATTAATGATATAGACTTTATATTAAATGTTTTTCTTTTCTATTTTTAAAATATATGAATTTACATCTTCAATTTTTTACATGTTCATTTTTACACACTCATAAAAATGGATATAAATAATATATATATATATATATATTTTTTTTTTTTTAATAGAAGTTTATTGTTTGTTTTTTGAATGATTTAATTATAGAAGATTTAAATTATGAAGATATTAAGAAAGAAAAAATGCCACGAAATGTTTTTTATTCTGCTGGATTAAAAGTAAGTGTTTTTGAAGATAAAGCATTTGACTTGCAAAAATGCGAATGGGCTAAAATTTTAAAAGATTAAAAAAAAAAAAATGAAGTTATGATTATTTTAAACTAGTTTTAATTTTTTTATTTTTTTAGTTTATTTCGTTTTTTTATGATTTCATGTTATGTAAATAATTTCTTAAATAAACTGATACTACCCATTGTTTTTATATATATATTTTAAGTTATTTTAAAAAACCTAATTTTTTTTACAAATAAGTTATTCACTATTTAATAAAGAAAAGAAAAGTGAATTATCTAATTTTTTTTAAAAAAAAATATAATAAAATAATGAATAACAAAAATAATATTTACATATAATTTATTACTAAAAAAATATGCAAATAAAAATAACGAATACTTAGATGAATAAAATGTAATTATTTTATTGTAATATAAAATAATAAGGATTAAGTATATTAAAATATTTAATGAAAAAAAAAGGAAAAAAAAAAAAAAAAAAAAAAAAAAAAAGACGAATAGAGTACTACATAAATATTTTAAGAAAAAACAAGTAAAATAATACAGTATGTAGATGAATTCGTAAATATTAAAAAGACAAGCAAAGAAAATAATATAGGTAAGTTAATTTAAAAAAATATTAAAAAAACATATGAAAAATAGTTATATTAATTTAAAATAAAAAAAAATCTTCTTTTGTATATAAGTCGTGTGCAAATATATTTTTCTTCTTTAATTAAAGAATTATGTTGTTATTATAGTAATTGTAAATAATTTTCTTACATAATTTATTATCATAAAGAGGTAAATGAATTATGTTATAGTATTTACTTAAAAGTAAATGTTTAAAAATATAATATGATTTATAATTATAAAAAAAGTTAAAAGGTTTATTGGTTTTATTTAATAAATATTGTTTTGTATAATGACTAATACCATCAATTTCAAATATTGTGTTTGTATTTTCATCATAAATATCTACAATAAAATTAAAATTATCTTTATTAATTATATATTCATTTTTTATATTTGAAGTAATATTCCCATTTTTTTTTTGTAAAATAAACTTTATATATTCATATAATTTCATATGGGATTTTGAACTTTTTGTTTGTTTAAATATTAAAAAAATTTTCTCTTCAATTTGTTTTATTTCCTTATTAATTCCATCAAACATGTTTAATGTGATATTGTTCTTTTTTAAAAACATTAAATTATTTTTGTTAATTTTTAGTTCACTAAAATGCAAATTTTCCTGTAATAAATAAAAAATTTCAAAATTTTCATTTGGATTATAATTCTTATTCTGTATGTTATTTACATAAATTGAAAATATACTCTCATCCATTTCATGGATTTTTTGAGAATTAAGTAAGTTAAAATTCCTTTTTTCTTCTGATTTTTCATTAATTATTTTATCATTTTTTTCAATATTTTTTTCTTTAATTTTTACATTGTTTTCTTCGGATAAAAAATTATTTTCGTTAATTTCAAAAGTGATAGTTTCATAACTTTTTGTAGGTTCTGATAAGTGTGACAACAAATTTTCCTGATCGAAAAATTCATTCTTATCTAATAAAACATTATTTAAGAATTTTTTAATAAAGTTTCTATTATATATAATTTTTTTGTGAATATTAAATTTCAAGAATAAATATAAAGTGTAAAACTTCATCATTAAATCTTCATTAATTTCCATTAAAAAATATTTTTGTATAATAGATGAATTTACACAATATAATTTATAAAAATAACTTTTTAATATATCAACAGTAATATTTATATAAAAATTGATATAATCATATTTTTCATAATCTATTTTTAAATTATTTTTATCTATATCATATTTTTTACTCAAATTATGTAATACGTTTGTTATTATTAAGCTTAAACTAAACAAACAAGTTAATATATCTTCATGATTATCATAACTTTTATCTATATTTTTACTGAGTACACAAATGTAATAATTAATTAAAAGTTTTAAAATTAAACGTAATTGATTTATAGTAATATTATTATATAATGTTATTGGTAATAATATTTTTTTTAAAAACAAAAAGATATTTTGACTTTCTTTTTTATATAAAATATACAAATAATTATAATTTATTAAGCTAAATAAAGGTATATACGAAATGTTTGTATGTGAAAAAGTCCAGTTAAAAATAGATAATATTCTTTCATTAATTTTTTCTAGATAGTTAAAAAAATATATTTTATTTGAAGTATATTTGTATATTTTATAAAATAAGTGATATAATTTATAAAAATACATAGATGAGCACAAAATTAGATATTCGTTAACAATATTATTTTTATTTAAAGAATAATTAATATTACTTAAGCATACTATGTTGTCATAATTATTTTGTAGAAAAATATCTATCATTTTTAAATTTATATTTTTTTTATCAAAAGTAAAAACAAAATTCACTTTTTTCTGTAATACAGAAATAATTAAATTAAATAATTCTAATTTTAAATCATTATTTATAAAAAATATATTCATGTGAGATAAATTATATAAATATATGGAAAGATGTTGTAAATTTAAAGAAGAACTAAATTTGGAGCAATTATTACCATTATATATATTGTTATTTTCATTTTTTATTTTGGCTATTAAATTTTCTATAATGACTGTTGTTAATTTTTTTAAAATATTTCTAATTGAATATATGTTATTACTTTTTAATGAATCCTCTTTTACGTTTAAAATATGAGACTCCTTTTTAAATTTATCATTTTTATTTATGATTTTTTTTGAAAAAAATTCCAAGTTGTCTAAACTTGTCTTACTATTATTATTATCTAAAAGGTTTAATTTACTATTATTTACTTCTTTATTATATTTTATTATATTATTTTTATGTATTATTTCGTATATCTCTTCTTTTTTTTTATCTCTTTCTTTTTTAAAATCTAAAAAATTATATTCATCACTGTAATTAAAAAAATGTAAGTTATTTTTTTCGTCATCTATTAAAAGAAAATTTTGAAAAATTTGAATGCTTTTAAAAATTATTGAATAATGGTGATAATTATATTTTTTTAAATGAATTAAAGTTAAAAGCAATGTATTTTTCAAAAATTCATCATAATCAAATATGAAATATTCATCTTTTTTTAATGACACTTTATATTTTAAGTCAGATTTTTTATTTTCACTTAGTTTTTTATATGGATAATATATACTTAAGGATTGAATTAAATTACAAATATCTTTTTCATTTAGTTTCATATATATATATTTTCTATTTTTATAAATTATATAATACAATAAATCAATATAAATATTGTTAATTTTAATTTTAGATATACTCCATAAGAAGACAAAAAATTCTTGTAGAATCATTTTATTTTCATATTTCATTTCTTCATTAATTTTGTTTTTTTTTTCTTTTTCATTTAATTCTTCAAAATTTGATAAAATACCTTTATAAAAACTATTTAAATCATACTGTGAACAAAAATTGCTGTTAAAATACTTAACTACATAAATACACATATATCGACTAAGTAATAAAAACATAAAATTTAAATAATCTTTTTTCAAATTTTCCTTTAATTTATTATCCAAATAGTAATATTTATATATATAATTTTTATAATTAACAGTAAAATCAATAGCATAAAAATTGCAAATTATAGAATAGGAGTATATAATATTAGATATAGATTGAGAAGAAAGATAGACATACATGTTATTTATATATTTTATATATAATAAATAAGTGATTATATTATAATATTTTAAATTAACTAAAGAAAATAACAAATTCGATAAATGCCTGTATGTTAATTTTTTTATAAAATAATTTTTATTTATTTTTTCTAATACATATTGTAATATATCATTGTTGTAATCTAAAACAGAGCCATTAATAGAATAATTATTATTATACATATTTCTTTTGGTTCCATATACGTTAATATGTTCTTTGTCATTTTCTCTTTTTTTATTTACATTTTTTTTTTTATTGATGTTTACATATAATTCATTATAATCACTTAATTCATTAACATTAGCAATATTATTTAGTTCTTCATTACTTATATTCATAATATTATTATTAATATATATATTATAATTTATTATTTTATAATTATTGTTTTTTATCAATTTATATATTTTATAAATACAAACTACATAATTAATTGGTACTAAAATATCTTTATTATAGTAAATATATTTATATATTTCATTTATATTCTGCATATTGTTTATTTTTTTTGTTATAATAATATTTAATTCATGAAAATTTACATTTTTATTATCTTTTTTATTTAATAATATATACAGTTCATTTTTTTTTTTTGAAATTTTCTTTTTTGGCCAATTGTTAATTTTCATTATTCCATTTTTTTCGAATCTAAGAAAAAGTAAAAGAGAAAAAAAAACATAAAATTAAGTAAGTAAACATTATAAAATGATATTAATAAATAAATAAATAAATAAATAAATAAATAAATAAATAAATAAATAAATATATATATATATATATTTATGTTTAAACAGATAATATTTACATGCATTTATAAACATATTACTTAAATGTTTTTGTAAAAACACTTATTAAAAGTGTAAATTAATTGAAATTTATAATTATTTCTATAGTTTCATATTTTCAATTCATGAAAATTATTTACTTGCTACTACTATCCGAGTTCTTTAGTTGAATAAAATTTTCCTTTTCATAATTATTCTTTTTATTTTGTTTTACTTGATATTTATTTATTGAAGAAAAATATTTCTTTTCAATGTGTCTTTTATGTATGTTATTTGAATTAAACGCACCGCTTCTTTTGAAAGCTGTAATTTTTGTATGATTAAGTAACAATTTTAAAATCATTTTATCATTTATTAAATAAATAATAATATATACTTATATAGAAATAAATATATATAATTGTTATGTTACAACACTATCATCAGTTGCAAATATTAAAAACACAAAAAATAATTAAAAAAAAATTCTTTATAAAAAAATGAAAATTTCATTTTCATGATTTTGTATATACTTATTATTGTTATTTTCTAAATTAATTAAATTTTTTCTTTCTTAAATAATAAATATTTAAGCTTTAATTTTATGTTTTTATTTTACAAATGTAATAAAAGTATTAATTGTCATTAAAAATAAGATAGATAAAAATTGAAAAATATATTACATAGGTATTATTAAGATAATTAAGCGTAATATATATGATTACATATTATTATTTATTTTTATTTTTATAATTTATTATTATTACTATTGCATTTTCATTGTTATTTATTAAAAACTTTCATCTTCATTATTTTTAATTAATTTTTTCTTCTATTTCATTAAATGTGTTTTAAATTTTTTTTTTTTTTTTTTTTAATTTCTTTCTTTTAATTGTTTGTTTTATTTTCTCCTTTTCCTTAGTTTATTCTTTATCTTTTTTTTTTTTTACTTTTTTTTCAACTTTATATTTTTTTTCTATTTTCTATATTCCAACGTTTTTTTCTCTTTTCCTTTTTCACTTTTTCTTGATTCTTTTTTTTTTTTTACTCTTTTTTCAACTTTATATTTTTTTTCTATTTTCTATATTCCAACTTTTTTTTCTCTTTTCCTTTTTCCCTTTTTCTGGATTCTTTTTTTTTTTTTTTTTTTTTTTTTTTTTTTTTTTTTTTTTTTCTTATTCTACTTCCCTTTTTTTTATAATCCTAATGTCTTTATGTTAAAATTAATAGTCATAAATTAGAAAGATTTGCGTAAAAAAAAATCTATCATTAGTAAATTTTTTCTTTTTCAACTTTTTAAAGTTTTGTAAGCATCAAATGGTATAAAATATATTTAATGAAATTTGATTAACTTCCATTTCGTAATTCAGGAAAATATTAATTTTTATGAAACTAATTCGTAAAAAAAAACATTTTGTGATACATTTTATTAATAATTTTTATTTTATATTTCATATTTTTAATACATAATCAATTTTATTTGCTATTTTACATTTTTAATTTTTCCAAAGTTTTTACTTTATATGTGATTAAATATAAAATTAAATAAAATAACAGTTATAAATAGTTGAATGTATATATTTAAAATGTAAAAATGCATGCATTTTATAAAGAAAAATAAACATTAACGTTATATGAATATCCATTGAAATTTTTTTTTACCTATTTTTTTATTAATATAAAAACATATATACGTACATTTATATTTACGTATATGCAAATATTTGCATTTTTCATGCAATTTTTATCGAAAAAAGTAAAACTACAAATAAAAATTTAAATACGAATATATTTTTTTAAATTTTGTATAATTTTTTCATTATTGCGGTATATATATATATATATACATTTACAAATACATTCATTTATGAATTTTTTATGTTATAATATTAACGGTAATTACTCATTTTTGTATGTAATAAATATTTTTTTAGTTGTACATCTTTATAACTAAAAATAAAACTTTTTGTTTTAAATGATAAATCGACTAGAGTAAATAACAAAAAAAATTAAAAAAAAAAAAAGATTATTTTTAATTCAAATTAAATATAAAATTTTCAATATATAATGAATAAATTATAACTACATATTTTTTTTATATAAAATTTTAGATTAATCCAAGAATACATAGATGTATTTATATATATACATATTAAATTATATATTTCTTTGATGATAGAAAAAAAAAAAATTAATATTTTTTTTTTTTTTTTTTTTTTTTTTTTTTTTTTTTTTGGCATTTTATTTTTTAATATTTAAAAAAGAAAAATTTATAATTCCTTCAAAATTTTTTACCTTTTTTAATTTTCTCATTTTGTTGTGTTATTTGATTATTTTATTAAAAATGCTTTTATATGATTCATATTTTACATTTTATAAACATTATTTTATTATATATAGATACACGCATATGGGAAATAATTTGAAAAATACATATTAATTTTTTCTCCTTTTATATGTATATATATATATATATATATTTTTTATTTTTTTATAATATAATTTAATATTTACTGCTTTAGTTTTATTTTTTTTATAGCATAACAATTTTTTTTTTTTTTTTTCCTTTTTTTGTTTTAAATAAAATATATCTACATTTATGTGTATACATTTTTGGAAATTTTTTTAGAACTTTTTTTTATATTTTCAACAAAATAATTTCATAAACATATTTTGTTTTTCTAAACCATAATGTATATCATTTTTTTTTAATATATTTTTGATCACTTTTTTTTTTTTTGTTTTTAGTAACTATAGGCTTTCCTTTCTTTAAATAATAGTTGTATGTTTTTTCATTATATTATTGTTTGTTAAAATATGTATTTATATCTTACATGTTTTGATCATGTTATATTTATTCATTAAATATCTTAAAAAAAAAAATATAATTTTGCATTTGTTATTATTAACTCTTCTGTCTATATCAATTATTTTGATGACATCAGATTATTTAGAAAGTTAATTTATTAATATAACCTCATTAAGTGACTTTATATATTCACTTCATGTTTTATATTAATGTAAGAGTTTTTAATGACGCTGTATTTTTTAGTTATTATAGGGATGAGTATCAAAATATTTAATAGTGTTGAGTGAACTTTATACGAATGAAATAATTTTTCAGGTGTGAAATATTGATAAAATTTAATTATAAAAAAAAAATATTTTTTTCCTCTTTGAATGTAATATATATATATATATATATATATATATATATATATATATATATATATATATATATATATATATATATATTTATGTGTTTATGTTTACAAAAATTAATGAGAAAACGAAATATCTTAAAAAAAAAAATAAGAATTAGGTATTATAATATAAAAAAAGAATATAAAATATTGATAGAAACATATTAATATATTGCAAAAATGGTTTTGAATTATGAGAAAAATGAAAACAATAATGTTGATTTGCACAATTGCAACACAATGAATATTGAATCTATTAATAAAGAAAAGGATCATGAAATGATTGATTACAATAACAAAAATCCATTCCATAAAGAAGTAGAAATGATAAATAAAACAATTAAATTATCTAATCATGATAATGAATATGATAAAAAAACTATTAAGAAAGAGGTTTATAACTTAAATAAATTAAAAGAAGAGAAAAATAACAATAATAGCAATTATAAAGAAAAAGAAATAAGTTTAGTAAATGTCGAGATAGATACAAGAAATGCTCGTCATATATATCAACAAAAATTAAACTCAACACAATCAACTATGAATATTGAAGCAAATCCACCAAATGATAATGATGATGAATTGATTAATAATGTAAATAATCAAATGGAAATTTTGAAAAAAAAAAATAAACAAGGAGTATTAAATGCCGATGAAGAAGGATTTGACAATTCAATTTACATTTCAGATAACTTAGATGATTTAAGTACAAGTGGAAAAAATTACACATTTTTTCAAAAATTAAAAATGTGTTTTAATTATTTTGGTCCAGGATGGATAGTAGCTATTGCATATTTAGATCCTGGAAATTTATGTAGTAATTTAAATGTTGGGTTAATTAGATCTTCAGATAAAAATTTAGAAAAAGATTATACAGGTTATCAATTATTGTGGATTATGATATATGGGCATTTACTTGGATTTTTATTTCAAGTTTTATCAATGAAACTTGGTCATGTTACTGGATTAGATTTAGCTTCTATTTGTTATAAAGAATTTAATAAGAAAATTTCTTTTCTTTTATATATATTTGTTCAAATTGCCATTTGGGGAGCTCATATACAAGCGATTGTTGGAACTGTTGTTGCTATAAATTTAATATTTGGTATTTCCGTTAAAATAGCAATATTTTATACCATTATTGAAGCTTTAATTTATAGTATTTTAGAAAATAAAAGTGTGAAGTTATTAGAAAATGTGTTAAGTTTACTTATTGGATTGCTTGCAGTTTGTTTTTTTATTAATGTATTTATGACATCAATAAATTTTAAAGAACTAGCAATTAGTGTTGTGTATCCGAGAATACCTCAAGGAAAAGAAATTGATGCTTTAGCACTTTTAGGAAGTATAATATCAGCTCATATTTTTTATTTACATACAAATTTAACAGCAAAAAAAAAAGCTGTTATATCTACAACCAAAAAGTTAAAAAGATACAATATATTAGGTACTATTGAATCAGCAGGAGCTTTATTTTTGTCATGTTTAACTAATTGCATTATTGTACTTACATTTGCTGAGGTTAATATAAGAACATCTGATAGAAGGGATCAATATAATTTGTTTACAGCCTATGAGGTTATGAAAAAATCCTTTGGAAAAGTTTCAATGTATATATGGTCATTTGGGTTGTTAAGTAGTGGTAACAATTCAAGTTTTATGTGTGAATATGCAACAAAATCGATTTTTGAGGGTTTCTTAAATAAGAAAGTTAATACTTTTTTTAGAGTTTTATTTTTCCGTTTTTTCTTATTTTTTGTTGTTTACTTATTCTTATTATATGATAAATATTCAATTGATCAATTAACAAATTTTATTAATGTTATTCAAGTTCTTTTATTACCACTGGCAATTGTGCCCCTGTACCGATTTAGTATTCACAAAAATGTTTTAGGAGATTTTGCATTAAAAAAATGTTTCAAATATATAGTTTTAGTTATAATTATTGCGATTATAATCTCTAATTTAGTGCTTACAGTTCTTGATGTCACGCAAAAGGATACTAATATTTCTTCTCTCACTTTAATAGTTGTTTTTTCTATTATTTATTTTTATTTTATTTTATTTTTTTTTAATTTGCCTATTACAAAAATTTACTACCAAAAAAATAATTAAAAAAAAAATTTACTTAATAAAGCAATTTATTATTAAAATTATTAATTTTTTTTTTTTTTTTTTTTAATTTAATTTCTTTAATATTCATATACATATTATTTGGATAAACATACACAATTACAACTTTAAGTTATGTTCATAAAACAATTTTAATTATTAATATTATTATTAATATTATGAATATTATCATAATTTATATTATAATTAATAACATTATTATATGTGATATCTATTTTTGTTAGGTAAACTATAATTTACAGTATTATTCTTTTGTCAGTATTTAAACTACTGATATTATTATGATCAAAATATTATTATCGTTACTTTATTATAATTGGTATTACTATTATAAGATAAATATTATTAGTAGTACTACCAAAATTATTTCAGGTCATATTTATAAAAAGAAATATTTTTTTTTATATGTATATATTTTACATTTCAAGAAAAATGTTAATTTTACTATAAATTTATATATAATAGAATGTTTTTTTTTCTTGTAATTTTCAAATTTAAAGTTGATATAATTCTTTAACAAAATGTAAAAATATGTGAAGATTTATATTGAGAAGAAAATAGGAATTATTTTAAGAAAAATTAATACTTCAATATAAAATTAATATTAAAATTTCAAAAAAATTGTTATCGATTTACAATCAAATAAGTTAAAATATTTTTATAGATCAAATAATATATTTATCTTATTTTTTTGAGCTTAAAATGTGCTATTAAAAGGAAAGCTTGTTTTAAATCTGTATAATTTTTTTTATTAGATATAAAATGAAAAGATTTTATTTAATAATATTAGAAAGGTAAAAAAAAAAAAAAAAAAAAAAAAATATCAAAAGAATATTTATAAAAAAAATCATTTAAAAATAATACAAAAAAAAAAAAAAAAAAAAATACATGTAAACATATATGTTGTATGATTCTAAAAAAAAAAAAATATTGACAAAAAATATATTAATTTAATTTAATAGTGTTTATACATACAGTTGTATAAACTTAAATTTGTTATATATATATATATATATNAAAAAAAAAAAATTTAAAAAAAAAAAAAAAAAAAAAAAAAAAAAATAAAAAAAAAATTTAAAAAAAAAAACATTTAAAAAAAATAAAAAAAAAAAAAAAAAAAAAAATACATGTAAACATATATGTTGTATGATTCTAAAAAAAAAAAAATATTGACAAAAAATATATTAATTTAATTTAATAGTGTTTATACATACAGTTGTATAAACTTAAATTTGTTATATATATATATATATATATCTTATTAATTAATGTAATAATTTTTATAATTTATTTTTTAATAAATATGATATACTTAAAAATTTACTAATTCTGTCTTTATGAAGTTTATAGATATATTTATGATAAATAATGATTTGTTTATATTCTAATGTAAAAAGCTGACTAATTCATTTTCTGTTTTGTCAAATTTCTTGTAATTTTTATTTTCATAGTTTAATGAACTTTTGTTGTAATCAGAAGATAAATTACTACAATTGACGTTAATATGATATGCATATTTTTGTCCATTTTCGTTTTTTTCATTATTTTTAGTAAAACAACAATTATCTAAATTGTTTTTTTTCAGAATCTTCTGGGACACATAATTATTACTTAATAATATGAGTATAGAAAAAAGTGATATGATAATATGAAACTTCTGCAAAAAAATATTTATTTTTTCATTAATGCTAAAATGTCCATGAGAAATTGTAAATAATATAATTCCAAATACACCCCATAAAAGTAAAAGCACATTTTTTAATTGATAATAATTAAAAATAATGCATAGAGAACATATTGGTGCCATAACAAATAACGCTAGCTAAGGTGAGAAAAAAAAAAAAAAAAAAAAAAAATATATATATATATAATAATAATAACAATAACCTTAACAGTAATAATATTATGCTCATTAATAGTATATTCTTATCTTATAAAAAAAAATAAATATATATTGTTATATGCATGAAAACAAAAATATAAATCAAAATTATAAAAAAATAATAATATATTTTTATTTACTATATCAGATAAATGATTGAAATAAACAATTTCGTAATCTACTATGTTAAAGATTGATAATGTAAACATCAATATGGGTATTAATGTACAGTCAATTAAGCAAATTATACTAGCTATTGACGAAATTCTGTTCAAACTTAATCTAAAGTACATAAAAATGTAAAAAATAAAATTTTATTGTTATAAATATATATATATATATATATATATTTTAAATATAAATATATAAATAAAAATTCATAAGTGACATGTTTAAAATGTACTTTAAACTAAAAAAAAAAATTCCTAAACATATATATAAAAGACAATTATATTTAAATATTGTATATTTTTTTAATCACAACTTCTTAAATTCTCAATAAATCAAAATTTCTTTCATAATAAATTTAGTGAATTATGCATTAATTATTATTATAGTTTTTTTTTTTTTTTTATAAACACAATTAAAATTAAGTAAAATAGATATTTATAATTCTTAATGATAAAAAGAATATAACTTATTTGATACATCTACACACATAAAATAAAAAGGAAACAAATTTAAGAGTCTAACAAAACTAGCAGTAAAAAGAACTTAAAAATTAAAAGAAAAAGGACATTTAAAAAAAAAAAAAAAAGGGATATTAATTAAAAATAAGCATATATATTATGTATTTCTTATTTTTTCTTTTAATTTAATAGATTTAATTTAATTTATATTCATTATTGATATGTTAATCATATAATTTGTGTTCAACTATTATTAATGTTATTTTTTTTTTTTATATTACAACATTCTTATTTTTTTTCAAATCTATATAACAGAAAAAAAAATGTCTATGAATAAAATAAATAAAAAATTGCATTATATGAATAATATTTAAAACAAAATAAATATTTCAAATAAATTAAACTGTTGATAAAAAAATAAAGTGGATATTAGATATCACTCTATGTATGCTAATGCGAATTTGTTCATCAATCAATTCATAAAATTTAGTAAATTATATAAAATTAAAAGAAATATAAAATTTTCTGTTCTATTTTGATATTATTTGTTCCCTTAATATATATTTTTTCCTATTTTTAATATATATATTCCAAACAACTTTTTATTTACATATAATATAGGTGTATATATATATATATATATATATGTAATTTTTCAAGACGTTAATCTTATAATTAATATTCATTCAATTTTTTTTATTATTTACTTCGTAATTTTGATCATATTTAGAAAAAGAAAAAATTTAACGAGAGATTATTCCTGAATTTCACACTATTTTTTTAAAAATATTTTTACAGTTAACCAAAGAATTCATATAAAAAGGAAAAAAAAAGAAAAAAATAAATGAAATATATAAATCATAAAAAAGTATAATATAATAAAATAATAATATAATTTGTTACATTATCTAAAGAATTTCTTTTAAGAATATATATACAGACAAAAGTAATCAGTTTTTTTTAAAAAATATTTAGGTAGTCTTTAATTCATGAAGTTTAAAACAAAAAAAATTCCTTTATTAAAAAAACAAAACAAAAATACCATTGCATGCATTTTATAATATATATTATAGCGATGTTCTTTTTATACTTAAAATGGAAATTTTAATTTGAAATGATATTAAGTTTAAAAAGATTAGAGCTAAATATTTTACTTTAAATTATTTTTTTTTAATTTATTATATTCAAATACTTTATAATAAATTGAAAATCTAAAAATAATACTTATGTAAAAATATATTTAAAAAATATACTAATATCTTTTGGTAAAAATATCTTTATAAAAATGGAGCATTATATAAATAATTTTACTGGATGAAGTTAATTTTTCTATTTTTTCTTTTTGAAAATTCAAAAAAAAAAAAAAAAAAGGATTTTTAATATAAATGGCACCTTAGAAATTGTATTTTTCTTTATAATGTGAACTAATAGAAAAAAAAAAAAAAAAAAAAAAAAATTAT